ATTATATATTTAATAATATATATTTTAAGTTATATTAATTAAACTAATTATATTAAAATTTAATAACTAATTATATTACTAATTCCTCAATTAAGTTAAATTTGATAATTAATTTATGCATTAATTATACTATTAATTATTTAATTAATTTACTTAATTATTAATATTTTAAATTGTATTAATTAAGTTAATCAATAATAACTTAGAGGCGTCTAGGTTTTGCGTTTCATCTTCTCCTTTCGTCGTTGCTGTTCGGCTCGTTGCTGGCAGGAGGTGTAGAGATTGCACGCTTCGCTTCTTCGGCTCCTTCGTGGCTGTTCGACTTTGCTCCTTCGACGAATTTCCCATCCTGTTGGATTGGAAGCTACGACATTTTGATCGGAAGCAACAACGGGAGCTCGCTGGCTGTGCCTTTCGCGCGCTTCTTCGGCCAAATCCCATAAATCCGCCGAACCGAGGGATGTAGTAAATCCAGGATTTAAGCCGTAAATCCCTAAAACCGGGATTTACCCATCGCCGGGATTTAATGCGCGCACACAAACCGTTTGGTTGGATTTAGCGCAAATCCGACTTAAATCCCGCTGTAAATTCGATATCAAACAGCCCCTAAGCAGTTTGACGTTATTGGGATAGCGAAGTTTATACTTATTCTTTCTTCAAGTATCAAGTGATGCCGTGGCAAATCGTTCATGTTCCTGACAAGCCTCCGAGCTCTCCTGAACTGTCGACTGGTATCTCGTACTTCTGTTTTTTCTTTTCCATCTTCCAACTCAACTCTGTTACTTGTTTTTGTCGCACATCTCATTTGACAATTCTCAATTTTGTTTTGGGTGAAGTTGATGTGCTTGCTTCTGTTATTGAGCCCAAGCTCGCAAACACTTTGGTGAGGTTAGCATTTACATTTTATTCTGTTTATTGCTGTCTTCTGTAACTTGGGCTCCATTTTGTTGATGGATGTTTGAAATTAAAATCGCAGACCTTCTCAAAAGTCTCTCGAATGTAAGGATTTCATTTTTCACACTAAAAATGAGTGAGAATGAAATCGCTAATTCTTAAAACTTGTTTTCTGTTTCCAATCAACCAAATGAGCCCTTAAAAGTTGATTCAGCTTTGCAAGCTTGAGTTTTTTACACTTATTTTATTTTTCTGGCCAAACTATCAGCAATCAGCAAGGAAATTTTGTTATTTGTTGTGTTTATTAGGCAGCTGAATCAAATTTGTCCACTTGAGAATCTACGCCATGTAAAAAGGGTGCAGAAGAGATCAGTGGAAGGTGAGCATTTGCTATTTAAATTTTAACATGCTAAGCTTGTGATCATATTAATATTTCGTTGGTAAAGTGGATCTAGGAAGATTGAATAAAGTTGGTTTTTATTCTGCTATATAGTAAAGAACTTGCTGGTTTTTTTTTAAGAGAAATGCAAAATGCATTAATAATAAAAAAAAGAACTTGCTGGTTGGTGGTGTAAGTTCCCTCTGACAGTGCTTTCTCATAACAAATTAATTGGCGGGGCTTGGTAATTGAGGAATTCTTGAGGCTGTAGTAATTGTTGTCTGTCTTGGCAGGAAAAGTGGAACTGTCCGTCATTTTATGCCGTCAGAATGAACATGAAAGTCTTTGTGCGGGAATGCCAAATGATGTTCTTCAGCTTGCAAGTACCTATCAGTTGAGTCCATACAAGACAAAAGTTAGTCATTCTTTCAAATCTTTTACAAGTACTTGCTGTAAGATGTTTATCAGTTGTTTTTGTGCTTTCAGTATTATGTGTGTATGGATACTTTTGAGGCGATCACCTGCTTAGCTGTTGAGTTTTAGTCATTTATTAGAGGTCGTGTCAGTCATCTTATTGAATTTGGTACAATGAGAGTAAAATGTGATGGGCGATTTCATAAAGGTGTGTTGATATAGAATATTAGTGAATTTTGTGAATGAACTTTTAGGGAAACGTTAAAAAGATAAAATCAACAATAGAGGCATTTTGCCTTAGTGAGGAGAGACATTAGCATCAAGGTGGATTGAAGTATAAGCCAAAAAAAAAAAAAAATCATAAAAATTAAAATAATTAGTAAAAAATAAAAAAAGATGAAATAACCCATCCAGATATTATTTGATTCATTAAATAAAAATTTGAAATGAAATTCAAGGTAAACACTCACTTAAAACTTAAATACGTTACGAGGATCAGGATCCATGACATCCTTATCCTCACTTTCATATTATTTAGAAGAGCCATTGTATGTAATAATTCTATCATTCTTGGATTTTGTCTCATCTTCATCTTCAAAATTTTCTTCAATTATAACACTTTTCTTCTTACTCCCTATATTAGTGAACATTGGATTCAATGTAATCTTAATTAAAATAATAAATTAATCACCACAAAGTAATACATTATTTTTAAATTATCTTTTGATTTTTTTGAAGCTTATCAACAATCAAGGTATCCAATTCATCATCACTAGTTCTTTTGTTTTTGTAATTTGAGATTGTTTCTTTCAAAATTTTTATTAAACATAATATAAACTAAATTGTTCATTCTTCTTGTAGCCAATTTTTCATTGTATGAACTTAGTTGAACGTGCTCCAATTACGCTCACATATATCAGTTGAACAAGTAAGACTCAAAACTCTCACTGCAAAATCCTTAAGTTCAAGGACATCATCTCCAAATTATGCCCACCAATATTTTAGAATATAATAAAAAGAAAATGATAAATATATATTAGAGTAGAAAGCTTAGACATAAGCTTTTAGATTTAAACTAATAAAAGAAAGAAAATTTACTAAGAGAGCATGCTTTGTGGCATGCTTGAGCTACTCTAAACCCAAATAACTCATTCTTCAAGTTGATCATTTATTTTAAGATAGTTAGTTTCAAGGATAAGTTTATTAATGTATGCATATAAAGTAGTATGAACCTCTTCATCAATATGAAATTCTTAATTATAATCAAATTAGGTGCTTAAATAATATACAACAACATGCAAATGTTAATGTAGCTGATGATTCCTTATATTTGTTTATAAACAACTTTTTGTCCTCCAAAATCTCTTGCTATTTCTTTCTTCACTATGTTCATTATTTCATAGATAAACTCTATAGTTGGAGCCTTCACACCATCAACTGTTCCTAATACCTTCATTAAAGGTCTTGTGGTTTTCAGCGCATAATTAACATTACACCAGAAAGAGTCATCTTTCATATTAATTTTATTTGCTTGTTTCCCTTTTAATTTTTTTAGAAGTGAGCATGGTCTCTTAAGTTTGTCATAACTCTTTAAATCTCTGCAAAGTCAGATAAGCCATGGCAACCCAAGAATGGTTATAAGTAAACTTGCTCATTATTTTTGGTTTCGACATGGTAGATTCATGTTGTGGAAATTGTCCAAACTTTTCAAGCATTAAATCAAGGTAGTGAGCAGCTCGTGAAGTCTAGTAAAGATGCCTCCTTTTCTTCATTAATATTATCCCTACAACCTTATAGGCATTTGTATTATTGAACAGTTAAACTCTCTCTTATTTTCTCAATAGCCTCATAAAACATTTTAAATAGTATTTTTTCATCCTTTATAGAGGCTAATACATCATTAGATTTTTGACATATAATCTCACAAGGATGGTTAAAACGAAAGTCTATAACGCTCCTTTGTCTAATGTCAGACTAACCATATAACATTATTGTAACTCTGGTCTCAATCTATATCTTCTTCACTCTATCAACCAACCTTATCATTGTTCTATCCTTCTCATGTAATATCCATATTTACAACTCATACATGCCAGGCAAACCAGTTTTGGACCATAATTCCCAATATCTCAAAGCATGTTGATCTATGAAGGACTCCTAACCATGTTGAATGGAATACCATTCTTATAAAAATATCTTGCAATATCCCTGCTCTATTTCTGTGTTCCTTTGTAGAAGCTGGAGGAGGAATTGTTTAAGAGTTCATTTATATCTTCATCCACATTCACAACAAAATTATCTATTGTCCCCGAGCTCCTCTATCAAAAGAAAAAGAAAATAAATTCCACTATTGAAACCTTCTTATTGGCGATTGCATGCTTTTTAAATATTCAACACATTTGTTTTTTAGTTCATTAGATACTTTCTCACATGTTCCAATATTTACATGTATGCAAGCCAAGTGATCATTGTCTCCTTACATCTCTAGTAATCCATCCACTCGTCAAAAAACTCACATTTCAAGTACAATATATATTCTTTGCACATTCTCCTAGCACTTTAACTTAAGTGGCATATTTCTAAGCTGAATCTTATCTTCTTGTGTCACCGCCTATTCTAATAAATTAAAAAAATAAAAAGAACTCCATTCAATAAAAAATTATAAACTTAATAGTAAATTACTCAAATGATGATCTTTCTGAACAAACTTTAAACTCTTTAAATCTAGCTATCCTTACACAAATTTATACAACTTTAAACATCTTGTGCAATGCAACTCCAAATCTAACTATCTTTCAATACATCTTTAAATATTTTATTCAAAACATCCCCTATTTTAGTAAGGACGAGAAAATAGAGTAAACCACATTGTCTTAGATCTTGAGAACACTCAATATGATCATCTAAATCTTCATTGATAAAAATGTAAGGGTTGGTATTTATCAATAATTCCATCATCCAAGAAATAAATTTGGTTGAATAAAACTAACACTTCAAAGCTTCTAGAACAAATTTTCAGTTGTAAATATTAACAAAGATAAAGTGTTAAAACACACGATAAGTAGAGAGAAAAGCTGTTTTATACCCCAAAATTGAGAAAGAGTTAAGGAAGCAAAGGGGCTCGACGTGTTTGCATATGGACGAAGCGGATCAACTTAGCAACGAAGAAGAAGAAGAAGACGATGCACACACACAAAGAAGATGTGGGAAGATGCATGACCTCTTGCTTGTTCACAACCTTTTGATCCTACTCATAACCATAATGTGACCTGTACATTCCCATGATGCATGGAGTCTATTAGCTAATTAATTTATAATAGTATATAATATATATATTAAAAAAATTTATAAAATTTAACTTGATTGAGGTGCCACCTCAAAATGCATTGAGGCGTACGCCTTATTTTAAAAAGGTGTAAAAGCCTAAAATAGTTCTCTGACTATACTTAATGCCTAATTTAGTCCCCATCTTTTATAATGACCTAATGTAGGCTCTCGATTATTATAAAATATCTTAATGCCTAATTTAGTCCCCACCTTTTATAATGACCTAATAGTAATAGTTAAAGTTAACTCCAACAATAAATGTGAGGGCATTTTGAATATTAGGATATATATGAGACTATATTATTATTTTTATATATTTTATCTCATTTAATTTATTAAATTTAAACAATTTAATAAGAATTAAAAATTTAAAAATCTCATTTAATTAATTAAATTTATACAATTTAATTAATTAACAAAAAATTATTAGCACCATAATAATTAATTTAAAAATTAACCACATACCTCAATTATCCACAAACCTAATTTCCATACAAAAACTTCCCAATGATCATAATTGTCAACTCTTATTTAACTTTTAATTCATGACCAAGGATCGGGGAAGAAAATTAGACTTGCTAAGGAGAGAAATGGACTATATTATTTGAAAGAGCTAGACAAATCCACTATATGAATAATGATTATTTTATATTATCCTTATTTAATAAAAAATCTACTATTTTCCCTCATCATTTTAGATTATGACATCCATCTTTTAATGTCTTAAAAATATGTATCCAAAACTTCTTTATAAGTTGGAAAATGTATATTTTCATTGTGAAACTTATGCGTTAGTCAAGTATAAACGAGTTTCTTTTTCAAATAAAATTGAGAGATATCATACCCCTTTCTACCTTATTCATGGTGATATCTAGGGACCCTAAAAAATTCTTAACATCTCAAGAGGCCGATGGTATGTATCCTTCATTGATGACTGCACTCGAGTCTCTTAGATATTTCTCCTCAAAAATAAATTTGAGGCCAATTTAAAAATCTCATTTAATTAATTATATGAGACCAATTTAAAAATCTCAATTAAATTTAAACAATTTAATCGAATTAAAAATTTAATTTCATTAATTAACCAGATTAAAATTCATTAATTTAATTAACCAATTTAACATTTAATTAAATAACTAACCAAATTAAATAATTTTTATTTAATTAAATAATTTAAAATTTTTTCAACTGATAATAAAATTCAATTAATCAATTTAATTAACTTAAGATTTAAAATCAACCAACCAAAATTTTCATCAACCAATCATCTAATAAAATAAAATAGAATAAAATACATAATGTTCATAATAATAAACCTAAAACAACTCATCTCAACTAACTCAAACCAAAATATACTCAACAAATATAAAATCTTAAACTTAAAGACAACTCAACTCAACGAGCTCAATGTTGCACTGATACGGATACGGCGACACGGATACGACGCGATACGGATACGGGACACGTCAATTCATAAAAATATAGGATACTGGTACGGCTCGGACATGGTATTATAATTTATAAATCATACATAAAAATTAAGAAAACAATTAAAGCATAATATTTGAAATTACAAAAAAAAAACAACATCATTTGTAGCCTTGTAGCTTATAATATCAAAATATAAGAAATCATTAAATGTCTAGTATAACAACAAAAGCATAAACATAAATTATCTAGCACATGAAGTTTCAACTATTCAATAGAAGGAATGATATGATTAGCTTCTTCATTGGTTTGCCTTTGAACTTTTATATCATCTTCAATAAATATCATAGCTTCTAATTCAGGCTCATCAAGTGAAAGATTAGTAATTTCTAATATTCTCATATCATCAAGATACTCAAATCCATCTTGGAAATGAGAGAACCTTGCTCGCAGCCCCGGAAATAAATACGATGCATTTTTTATTTCTTTTTGTTTTTCAACGGACACGTGTATCGGATACGCGTGTCCTTTTGAAATTAAATAGTATTTTAATTGGATACGGCTTTGGTGTATCTGACACGTATCGGTGACATATCGGAGGCGTATCCGTGTATCGGTGTATCAGATATAGCATGCCTTCATAAATAGGTGTATCGGTGCATTCAACAAACACCAACGCTCAAAATACTGAACACAACACAAACTATACTCTCCAATGCTCCTAGGAAGGCTCCTGCAGGTATGAAACTCCAAGCACATGCAAGTCAAATAACAAAAAATGATTAGCACCATAATAATTAATAATTATTTAAAAAAAATAATAATAAACAACAGTAGAGAGAAAAGAAAACTACTGGAATTAAAAAGAGATTGTCTAGCAGAAATAAAAAAAGTTACTGTAACAAAAACATCAGTGTCACACAAACAACAACTGCTGGCTAGTAAGTGTCAAGCTAGTAAACAACTAAAAACTACAGTCTAGTGTCAAGCTAACAAATAACTGATGTCTACTCAAATAAACAAACAATTAAATCTCCGGGTAGTTTAGCTTATAGGGCTAAATTATAAGATCCACTAATGAGATACTTCTATAGAGAAGCAATAAGACCCGTCCTATCCAAATAACTTGGCAACTTCTAATGAAAGTTTAAAACTTATTATTTGAAAATTTTCTAAATGAAACCCTCAAATAAAAATTAGCGGACATCTTAGGATTAGGTTGTAAGACCCACCTTTAGACAATTTTCAAAGAGAAGCTGTAAGACCTACACAAATAATTAAATCCACGAGCAACCTTTTGTAGAGCTATGTTGTAAGACCCATTTATGGGCAACTCATAAGTAAGCCGTAAGTCCCACTCCAAATTTGCAAGAAACTTCTAAGGGAGTCATAAGACATGTCAACCAAAACTAATGGGAAACTTTTAAGTGAAATTGTAAGACCCACATGTTAGGGAAATTGCTAAATAAATTGCAATAACCCTAAAACTCAAACAACCAAATTCAAACCACGGGGCAACTTAGCCTATAGAGCTAAGTTGTAAAACCCACAAGTGGGCTACTTCTAACAGAAGCCGTATGACCCGTTTTACAGGCTACTTTCAATGAAAGTCGTACCCAAATTTTAAACACATGGGCTGCTTATATTAGAAGCCGTAAGATCCGCTTTAATTTAAACATCTGGGTAGCTTCTAAACAGAGTTATGAATCTAAACCAAATTAATTTTTGGGTATTTTAATACATGTAAACCTCAAAATCCAATAAAACTAAAATTTTCATCTAACAACCTCAGTCTACTTGGGATCCCTGAGAGGAGGCAACCCATGACTACTAATCAGATTCCCTGGAAACTACAGTCAATGATTGCTAGTGTTGGTAGATTGAAACCTAAGGCAGACTAGGGATGACGAAATCATGAGATCTTGATCGGGTTTACTTTAATTTTCCCCATAATTGAGACTAAAACACTAAAAATTTATTCATTCTTAATCAAGAGTTCTCTCTTGCTGTTAACCTTTGTACAAAGAAACAAAAGCAGAAAAAAAATCTGTACATACCTCGGACTGAAATCCCGCGAATCCAGCGCGAAATCCCTGCTGGAGCCGCTAAACTCGCATCTCTTCCCACAAATCCCGCTGTGCTCGCGTCTCATCCCAGGATTTTTGCATGAAACCTGCGACAAATCCTCGATCGAGCGCCCAAATCTTCTTTAAATATCGACCCAACCCCATGGCTTTCGGCTGCTCAACACACGGCACGACGCTCTCTGCTCCCGAACTCCTCTCCCACAAGCTTCTGCCGGGTTCCCATTCGCAAATCCAATCCCTCTCTGTTCGCAGACCACATCTCCGGCTCAGAGAAAGAGAGAGAGAGAGAGAGAGAGAGAGAGAGAGAGAGAGATTCAATACCATGGAATGAGACTTGGTACTTCAGAGGGTTTAAAATTAAAAAATAATATGATGAAACCATTTTTCCTATATTCTATATGATCTTTTATATTTCTTGTCTAAATTTTATTTGATTTGGTGTTGTGGTGTGCTCATAGAAAAAATTAAAATAAAATACCTAAAAAATTTTTAATTTTAAGTGTCAGATGGACCAAGTGATCCTAGATACTGTGTAAGTACTTTTGTCCCCTACTAGCTATCTCACCAATAATGACAAGTCAACTAGTGTGCTAAAAAAATGAAGTATAGGGCTTGGCCCATCTCAATCATGTCCAACAAAGAAATAGCAAATTGATATCAAATCAATCAAATTAAGAAGCTAAGGTGAGGTGCACCGGATCATGTAACCTTAGACTGATATCTCAATGCAAATGCAAAGTACAACATGAAGGCAAACATGAGATTTTGAATGCTTGATTAACTTAATTAAAATGAACTTTTCTCATTATAAAAAAAATCCATTTCAATAATGGAAAATCCATAACAATGGATGCGCATATCAATAATGTAACAATGGATTGAGAAAATTCAATGTTATCATCAACAACAATCTTTAAAGCTATAATTCTATCTCCAATCCTATTAATTTTCATAACATTATCCTTTAAATTTTTATCTATAATAACACCTACACCATTTCTAGTACGACTCCTACCTGAATACCAAAGTTATTTTTTATCCTAGAAATTAGGATTTTAATTTAAAAATTTTGGAAAAACTATGGGATAGTTTTTGCATACTTCAACAACACAAATTATATAAGTTTTTTTAGAGATTATTTTATATAATCAGCGGTTTAAAAATATTAAATTTTATAAATTTTAAATTATTGACCAATTTAAATATATACAAAAATTAAAAAAGAAATTGAAGATGGTCTTTAATTCAATATATACATCCCTGAAATTTTTTGTAAGGGTTAACTTCATCATTTTCATGATTTTTTTTTTGCATTTTAAAAATAAAAAATTTTCTATGTGCTAAATTACCATCTTACCTGTTGGTGGGCCTATAGCGATGGTATAAATTCCCTAGGTCTAGGCAACTCATTTGAGCATACTCAAATTTTCATAGATTTATTTGAGCTATTTCTCTATTTCTTATGATTGAAATGTCATATATTCCAATTATTTAATTTTGAAAAATATCTTAAATGCCTTTGGAAAATTGAAACTATTTAAGTATGTTATTTTTTTCCATTGAGTGCATTCAAATAGTTTCCAAAATTGTTAAGCCTACTTTCAACATTTTAATGTGAAATTTCATATTTTCTTAATTTCAAAAATCGGATAATTAGGGGAAAATGAAAATTCAAGCATTTTTATGAAATCAATGCATGCCTTTAACCTATTAGTCTCGTCTTAAGCATGTGTACACTTTCCAAATTTGTTAGATTTCTCCCTAATTATTTGGCATTAACACAATATATTAAAGCATTCATTTTATGATTATTCGACATGTTTTATGTTGGCTGTCGACTACTTAATGCAACCCTTCACTTTTCTCATCCATGATTTGAGACCTGACAACTACAAAGTAGACCTAAAATGGAAAGTATTAGAAATGATCATTTTTGTTATATTTAAATGAAAATTTGACTCTTAACATGACACAATAAAGAAAAAGTATTCATATAGCCAATCGTACATAGTGGGATAGAGTCTTGATGTTGTTGTTGTCGTCGTCGTTGTCGTCGTCGTCGTTGTCATCGTCGTTGTCTCGCTAATTATTTGGCAATTTTCATAATTTTTGAAAATTTGGCAAATATTTTGAAAAATATCAATTAATTTCAAAAAAATATTTTGGTTATGTTCACTTCATGTGCATGAGCATATGTGTAAAATGTGATGATTGTTGTCTCTCGTAGAGGCTTTCTAGTCGCTAAGTTCTCGTTGTTAAAATTTTTTAGGTTGCAAAATATGCTGCATTGTCGAAGGAAGAATGGAAGGAACAATGCAAGCTCTGGTCAACATCATATCACCCATCAACAATGTTAGTTCATTATCTTTTTCTATTTGTGCATTGCACATGCAATTAATTTTTTGAATATAATTCTTCTTGGTTTCTTGAATTTAGGCTTGCTAATGATTTGATCCCCAAAATCTTATAAACCTAGTATTTGGTCCTAAAGTATTTCAAAACTTTCAAATGGGTTGTTGTACGAAAACTGAAAGAAAGATAAGGTTGCCTTTCTGAAAATTTCTTAAAAACTTTTCAAGTTTTCATATATGTCCCAGTCCCTCCCTATCTTTGAATAAATGTCCACTCTCTAACTGGATAATGCTGGTAATGGTGCTATAATGGGTTTGCAGGGTATGCGCATTAGTGGCCCTTTACCTATTGCAGACTCTCTCGAGTTGGTTGGCTGCTAAATAGTAGAAATACCCACAACTCCCTTTCTCACATTATTGAAAGAAGTGCATTCGCCTTTTTTGTTTGGATTTATGGGACATTACATCAAAGACCCTTAACATTTAACAATTGTCTTTTAATGCGTGATGAAGGAGGGCTAACCCCCTTTTTTGTGAGCATCTCCATAGTCAATAGAATATAGTCTAATGAATGATTATATGACAGGTTTGGTTGGACTTATTAAGATAATTAAATATATATGGAGGCTGTTTGGGCATGTACACTGAAGGTTAGAATATGCATCAATTTGATGAGTATATAAAATTAACGTCGAACGATTAGGAAAAAAAAGAGTATGCGGCCCTAAAGTAATAATGATATAAGTTACTCAATTTGATTTGTGAGGATAGGTTTAGCACCTTAGGTAACACTTACCAGGAATAACTGAAACATTAGGATTTAACAAGACTATAGGCTAATGCTGAAGGCGATAAATGTGTGAGAAAGAAAGAGAGAAGGGTTGTGTAGTGTTTGGTATTGCTAATTTGAGTTGTTGAGTGACTTTGGGACTAATTATTTATTTGACCAAATCACTTTTGATTGATTTGGTCGTCATTTTTGGCGCTTAGATGGTTTTGAAATTGAAGAATTATGTTTAAATAGGATCTACTCCAGTGGTCCTTACCGCTTTGTGCACTCTTATTACTTTGGATGTCCATTAAACGCTGCTCTTTCTCTTTCTTGAAAAGTGTGTGAATTTGGGAGAGTGTGTGTGTGTGAAATGGAGGGTTGTGAATTGAGGTTTATGAGTAGTGGTGGTATTGTCATTTAGGACAAGTTTGCTTTTGGACTAAATCAAATTATAATTCAAATCATACATATTTGAGTCAAATTTTTTTTTTGTTTGCCACACGTGTTTGAAATGCTAACAATGATTTGATTGGTTATAATTTAGTGACTAGCGGACAACATAGAGTAGTGGAGAGGAGGAAGTGAAGAGGCAAACTCTAATAATCACATTTTTATTTGGTTTTGTGGGTGGCTGTAGTATTTGTCAATTAGGATAGGCATGCATTTTGGACTCAATCGAATTTGACTCAAATCATTCATGTTTGAATGAAACCTCACTTTTTTACCACACATGCTCAAAATGCCTCTAATAATATGATTTAGTTATAATCTAGTGACTTTAGAACAACATGAAGTAGTGGAGAAGATGAATTGCTGAGGGGGAACTCAATCGAGCACAAATGGCTCGAGGATTATGATGGACTGGCGACTGAGCTGGTGGGTCCCACTAGGGTGGGCGGCTGGCAATAACAAAGAGGGGGAATTGTTTAGAAAAGTTTTAATTACAATTGAAAGTGAATTAATTAGGAAAATGAATCTAATTTGAATTCAAATATGAGAATGAATTATTTAGGGAATGTTGATGAGAGTTAATATTCATTGTTTAAGAATGAACCAAGGGAGAATTGTTTATGAAAGTTTTAATTGCAATTGAGAGGGTTTTAATTACAATTGAGAGGGAATTAATTAGTGAAATAGATCTAATTTGAATTCAAATTTGAGAGAGAATTATTTTTGGAAAGGGGGCTGATTTGGGAGGGAATTAGGGGAGTAGATTTAAGACTAACTATGGGGTGATTTTAAATTATGCTTAATTTTGTTGGAATTAGTTTTTCTTAGGTTGAGTGATCTCTAGCCGACGGCTAGGGATTCGGGAGATCCGGATCTTCCTTTCCAATTGAAGATCCAACTGCATCTTGTGTTTTCTTCATAGTTCTTTCAATAAAAAAGAATTCTTGTGTGTTCTTCCTAAATTTCTTGTGCCGTTCTCTAATTTTACTGAAATTACATCCACTTCCTATCAAATTGTTTTCAGAGCAGTTTCTTGTGCTGAAATAAAAGTCTCCATCGCTAAATTCTACTACATTTTTCTTTTCGTCTTGCTGAGTTTTGCTGTTTGGAGGTCAGATTCACATCAAGATTGCTGTTTTTTGCTATTTGGGGCCTAGATTCAAGTACCTATGACAATAAGAAAGGTAGAAGTGTTGGAAGAGGATATTGAACAACTAAAATCGGATTTTGTGAAAAAAAATTCAGAGTTAGAAACTCAAATTTCAGTCATACATGAGAAGATCGATGAGAAGTTTTCTAGCATGGAGGAGATGATGAGGAGATGCTCAAGGTCCAAACTAAAAATATGTCCTCGAAGGCGAGGGGAGCCGACGACGGCCAAGGGAGTGGAGAAAACTCTAAATAGGAGAGGGGAAGATCAGAAGGTGGAAATGTTGGGGTAAGAAGAGGAGATGCCACTTTTAGAGCCAATTCCAAGGGGAAACAGTGAAGGAGTGTGATTTTTGGTGGAGCTTCATAGTTTGGAAGGAGAAAAAGATTGGGAGAAGATAGAAGCACCAGACATGGTTCAACCACCCCTACAATAGTATCAATGGGTGTTCCAGCCAGTTCAGAGGTTGCCTCCTCCGCGGGAACACAGGCATGCTATCATCTTGAAGGAATGAGTCTCACATATTAGTGTTCGTCTATATCATCATCCCAGCTATTTTTCGCATTCCTGCTGTCCCCTTCGTTTTGGTTGTTGTCTTCTCACATTCCCTGCTATGGTTGCTTCATTTTCCCCGCTATTTGCACTTATTTCCTGCTCTTTTGTTTTTCCACGTTGATGGTTTTCCACATACAGGCTCTCAATTTTCCCATTCAGGCTTTCGGTTCCTGCTACTGGCTGTTCGGTTTCCATCTTGTTGTTTTCTTATATTAAGTGCATTAACTCCTAATTAAATGGGCTAGCTTGAGAGACTTTTATTGGTTGATTTGGAATCATATTTATGTGAGATATCAATGCTCTTTCCCATCTTTCCTCGTATATAAGGTGGCTGATTTCTTTGTGGAAAAGGAGAGAGATTGTGAAAAATATTTGGAAAGTGAAACCTGCGGGTTTAAATAGCTTGCTAGGTATTTTATTCTACCTTCCTATCTTCTAAAACTTCATCTCAGACTTCTATGTACTTCTTCTCTCAATGGTTCTCATTCCACTTGTATCCTTTTTCTCAAAATTTTTATAAGTTGTAAGGTGTTGTTGCATCGTGTTTTATTGTGAGTTGTAAGTGATGTTGTGTTGTGTTCCTTATTGTGTTTGTTTAAGCTATTATGAGATATGATAATATTTATCTGTTCTATCAGTGTTTGTTTATGTTTTATTGAAAGGAAGTTTTTAGTTTGCAATCCTAATATTTTTTAAGTTGCATCAATTTGGTATCAAAGCTTTAGTTTGTCGTTTGAGTCTTCATTTTTTCTTAAAAAAAAAGGGAAAACCATCAACAAGCCGAAGTTCCAATTAAAGATGTAATTGAGTATGCAGTTTGTAAAAGTCAGCCATCTATTTAGCTGATTCCAGAGAATAACTTTCCATCAACATTAGGGTTTCCGTCTCAAGAAATTTATACATATCCAATTCAGAATGAAATACTCTAAGTGCAAAGACAACAATATTTATGTACTGAGAAGTATAAAAATAAGAAACTCCTACTTTGATCAGGGTTTGAAGAAGAAAATGAGAATATAAGAAGAAAACATGGCATTCTACTAAAGGATGCTGAGAGGGAGTATTTTCATGCAAAAAAGATGAAGATTTTTGAAAAATTTTGAAAGATTGTTTTGCACAAAGTTGTTGATCTTATTACAAATGAAGATGAACTAATTGATGATCTTGTTGAAGATGTTGTAGACATCTGTACTACTCATAGTAGACAAGGTCTGCACCGACGATTCTTGATTAAATGGAGGGAACATCCTTTGTCTGATTATTCTTAGGTTGAAGATAAGGAGTTGTAGATTCTTCGTCCTGATATCTACCAGCACGTTATTGAAGCTTCTCATCAGGAGATGAGATTCTTCTACCATAGGAGAAATTGATGCACTCAAGATTTCCTGTTTTATGTTTTTTTATTTTATTTTCTACTTGTGTTTCTTTCTTTCTTTCTCCTGAACTTCTCAGTTTTTTTAGTGTTCCCTTCGTTTTCCATGCTGGCTTCTCAGTTTCCCAATTATTTTTCGCATTCCCTGCTGTCCCCTTCATTTTGGCTGCTGTCTTCTTGCATTCCCTACTGTGGTTGCTTTGTTTTCCCCATTGTCTGCACATATTTCTTGTTGTTTTGTTTTTCCCAGTTGATGGTTTTCCCCATTCAGACTCTCGATTCTCCCATGCAGGCTTTTGGTTCCTATTGCTGGCTGTTCGGTTTCCACCTTGTTGTTTTCCTATACTAAGTGCATTAGCTCTTCATTAAATGGGCTATCTTGAGAAACTTTTATTGGCTGATTTGGAAGTATATTTATGTGAGCTATCAATGCTCTTTCTCTTCTTTCCTCCTATATAAGGTGGCTGATTTCTTTGTTGAAAAAGAGAGAAAGAGAAATTGTGAAGAATATTTGGAAAGTAAAACTTGCGGGTTTAAATAGTTTGCTAGCTATTTTCTTCTACCTCTCTATCTTTTAAAACTTACTCTTAAACTTCTATCTACTTCTTCTCTCCACAGTTACCATTCCACCTGTATTCTTCTTTTCGAAAGTTTTATAAGTTGTAAGGTGTCATTGCGTCGTGTTTTATTGTGAGTTGTAAGTGGTGTTGCGTTTGTTTAAGCTATTATGGGATATAATAGTATTGTTCTGTTATATCGGTGTTTGTTTATGTTTTATTGAAAGGAAGTCTTTAGTTTGCAATCCTAATGATTTTTAGGTTGCATCATTATCCCTCCTTGCTCCATTCCAAAATAGTTTTACGTTTCTTGAAGATAGCCCCAGTATGGGCTTGCTTGTCACAGCATTCACTAAATTCCTCTTTTCATGAGCATTAAATTTTTTTTTTTTAATTCCATCGATGGCCTAGTTTAAGAAATAAATTTATTGATGATATCAACGGTAGTGCTCAAAATGTCGATTGTAAGTTTATTGCTTTTGTAGAAAGCGTCTTAATTTGTGGTCATCTGCACTCCTGGGAGTGGATCTGTTTTGTAGATCCATAGGAATAGATAGATTATGCAAGTTTGATGGACATAGGAAGAACTTCAAGGGCTCTTGAGCTCTTTATGAGAGGAAGAAGAAAAAAGTAAAAATATCCAGGAAGTAAGAGAAAAGGAAAAAGAGGCTAGAAGGGAGCTTGACCAGTTGAATGCACACATAGATAGTGATAGCTAGTTGCAATGTGCTTAGTTAATGTTCATATCAATTTATTAATTATTGGCTTTGTTGCATCATTAGTGGTGAAGATACCACCTAGTTTGCATGGGTGTAGCTGTGGAGATGGTTGTTGGTCAAAGGGAATTTTAGGGCTATTATTATTTATTGTTGATTGGACCCAAATGTGTGAGACTATTAATCCATCAAATAAGATTCTTAAATGAAATATGGCTTCACTTTTTGTGATAAGCATGACTTGATACTTCCTATGAATTTACATAAATATAGGTATTTTTAGTTTGAGCTTGGCTTGATTTACAAAATTCTTCCTTATTTGATGCAAGCGTAGTGGGGGTATTTGGTGCAATACCCATAACTTAAAAAACGAAGATGGTGGATGGGTTGGTGGGTGGGGGAGTGGCCAATGCATTTCACAGCTTAGAGAAGGGAATATTTATTGTAGTATTGGGGATAAATGTTGTCATGGCTTTTCGAACAAACGTGAACTCATACATCCAACTTTTAACAATAAAGAAGCAAACATGTATCATAGCTTGTAATTTTTTTTGTTTTTCGTTACATTGAAACTTAATATACCGTTTACGAGAACTACCCATTTGATCTATTTGTGGAACTTCATCCCAAACTTAAGGCATCCACCCATGGATGATATTTCCTAGCTACATATGGGTTATATTGGCTGTTTATTTATTCACTTTGCTGCTTGCAAGCATTTTTCTGCATATTTAAGTTTTGTAAACTTGAATTTTTCCATTTGAAATTGCAAGTGGCCTCAGTTGTTTAAGAATGGAATTAATTCATCTTCAAGCTTGTGCTGGTACTTAAGTTATATAAGATACTTTGTAAAATAGACTGTTATTATAAATATTTCTTTTCGGTTATCCATCTTGCCATCAAGTGCAAGTCATAGATTACTAAAATATAGCTCTCTACATGGTATTAATTGAGATATCTATATTCCTCGAAATGCTAGTCCTTATGAGCTTACCGGATTTGCTGAAGAGGAATCACAATTGATTTTCAAGTACATGAAGTTTGCTATGAGGTTGATGAGAACTCCTAATGGTAAGGTATGTAAATGCAATTCTCATCATCTTATTACCTTTGTAACACCCACAGTTTTGTTATTCTCCTTCCTTAATCAGCTGACATTCCACATCACTGTAAATATTTTTACTCCAGTATTTATTGTCACTAGTATTTATGAATGATTTATCCAGTAATGGGATATATTTCCCTGAGAGTTTTTGTGTTAAAAAGAAAATGATCAAAATATCCTGACATTTTTTAGTGTACTTATTTTGACACTATTTTTTTGCTCTAATTTGATTCCTGACAAGAATATTTTTCCTCCTCAAAAACCAACAGAAAAGAGCCAAAATAGTCATGTGTTGGGTACCATATTGGAGAAGAAAAGTCACATGGGCCTTTTATGTTGCTTTTTGATAATTGATTCAGTGAAAAAACCTAAGTAATGTATTGTAAATTTATTGGAGGAAATAAAAGTAAGTTTCAAAATAAATACACCCTAGAGAAGAGACCCTTTTTTTTCATTTCTCTTTATTAAAATCTCCTTGATTTACGAGGTTCCAGTGAAAATTACATTTTGTTTTTGGAATCATATAACTAAATGAAGCAGCTTATATTGCTAGAATTGAATGCTTGGAAGTTTAGCTTGTTCCTACAATATTTAGAGAAGCTAGATTGATCTAATGAGAATCGAGTCTTTGTATTTCAATCTGTATCATTTCATTACTGTCTTTGCTTACAAACAAAACTTGATAAAATTATTGAGAAAGTCGATCATGAAATAATGTGGCTAAGGGAAATTAGACAGTTTTATTAAATTACACCTCATGGTTGATTGCTTACAGAGATTAGTAATTTTTCCCCTTTTTGGAGAAATCTCAATCTCATTTTAGAGACTCTTCATATTATTGTGATATTCATTTCATATAGCGGCTGAAAAATAAATATTTCTTTTGTTTATGGCATGGTTTAAAATTGCGCAATATGAGGCTCGCCTTGAGGCCCGCCTTTGCGCAATTTCAGTAAAAAACGCCTCGATGCTTACGCCTTGAGTTTTTTTATGAGGCTAGCGCCTCAATTTGGTTGAGGCCCGTCTTGAGGCCCGCCTCGCCTCACTGGCGTGAAGCTTACGCCTCACGCGATATATATTAAAACTTAAATAAATCTTGAAGTAAATGCCTGACATTGGACTCTATAGGAGAGGAGGAAGAGGAGAGAGCAGTTCACCATAATGATGATTCAAATTAAGAACCCCTTAGTGATGACTGTGCTAATGACTTATGAGTTCTTATGTGATATTTCATTGTTATTTATTTTTGGAAATCGGAATTATATGTTAATGAAAAAAATAATGGGATTTCGGAAAGATAGAATTTTGAGTTGAACTATATTTCATGTTGTCTTATTATTGAGATATTTTGATTTCACTTCATATCTTATGTTTTTTTATGTTTAATATTATTCACTCATTAGTATATAACAAATTTATCATTTTATGTTTACGCAATCTTTTGATTTTGAGGCTTACGCCTTAAGGCTTACGCCTCGCCTCACGAATGAAAAACGCCTCAATACCCGAATACGCAATTTTAAACATTGGTTTATGGTATTGCCTTGCTTAACAGACTAGTTATTTAGTTTGACCAAGTGTGAAATGAAAACCCTCGGTTACAACAACAACAACATCAAGCCTTTATCTCACTACGTGGTCAGCTAAATGAATTTTTTTTCTCCTTTGTGTCATTTGAAGAGTCAAATTCTCATTTAAATCTAATTAAAAAATGTCATTTCTAATATTCTCTAACAAAGTCTTTTTAGGTCTACATATACCTCTCTTAGCTTAGGTCAAATCTAATACATCTATTCTCATAATCGGGTCATCAGAAGGCTAATGTTTTATGTGATCAAACCATCGAAGGCGACTCTCTCTAATCTTATCTGCCATTGGAGTTGCTCCAACCTTTTCATTTATATGCTTGTTTCACATTCTATCTCTAAGAGTAAAGCTACTCATCTACCTAAGCATCCTCATCTCTTCAACACTTGACTTAATTGTATGCTTCTCTTTTAATGGCAAACATTCTGCGCCATAAAGCATTGCTGCACCACCATTTTATAGAATTTTACCTTAAGTTTGAGGGGTACTTTTCTATCACACAATAGGTCCAATGTATTCCTCCACTTCAACCATCCAACTTGAATTCTATTAATAATATCCCAATGTATTTCTCCATCACTCTAGATAATAGACCCGAGATATCTAAAATGTGTACTCTTATAAATGACTTGATCGTCCAAAGTCACAATCCCCCATTAGATCTATTACTACTAGAATTACACTCCATATATATTTAGTTTTAGATCTACTCAAATGAAACCCCTCGATTTTCCAACAAATGATTTATTAACTTGTAGGTTTCTAATGGAAAGTTCTACACTTAATATATTTAATTTCCAGGAGAGGATAATGATCCAGATTTCTTTTTGCACTATTGCTTATTGTAGCTCACTCTTATGATACTAAAGTTTCTGAAAGATAAGAAATAATAATGATAAAGAAATTGGCGCACATCAAGCTATACCCGTCATTGGAAAACTGCTGGAACCAGAACTCAAATATATAACTTCCATTCATATTTTACAACCTCCTGAAGAGGCAAGGACTCAGGTCCAATGCCCGTTGCTTTTTTTTAGTTGCACTTAATTTTTGTAAAATGGAAGCCAAAGGTGACATGGTATAGAATTACTATAATGTATTTTTTGGCAAGTTCTACTGATCCCAAGCAAGTATTAATGTTTATTATGTCAGGTGGTAAATGCAGCTGTCATTGTTGATCCTTTGGGTGGGAAAATTATTGCAAGTGGTAATGACCAGACACTTTTTAGACTTCCTACAAATGAAACCATTTCAAACTGTATTAACGGCAGTGAGCAATCAGCCACCACTTTCTCCTTTCAGCATGGTGGAGATTCTTTGGAAAACATACCAGAAGACTCAAAGTCAAAGTTGTTGCCTTGTGACTCTAGCAGAGTTTCCTGCATGTATCCTTGGCGATGGACTGAAACAAGATCTGATAATGGGAAAGAGAAATGTGATGGAAACTTTTCGTGGCATCCTTTAAGGCATGCTACTCTTGTTTCTATTGAAAATGCTGCTGCTAGGGATAGACAGTTATTTCCTTGCTTAGATTATCAAAACAATCTGCCTCTTCGAAATGGTGGTGTCTGTGATTGTTCTGAGAACAATCCGATAAAACGACAGAAGATCCAATTGTCAGAAGTGAGCATATATTTTATCCTTCAAAACCTTTTTTCCTTTTATGCTATTGTTTTTTGCAGACACCAATAGCATATTAGATTAGAGAATAGTGTTATATTCTCATTTAATATTCCCCAAACCTTATATTTGTAGTTTGAAGTGCCTATGGTTGTTACTCCTGAATCGAATGTTTATTTTTATCATATATTCAATTATGTTGTTTCATTTTGTTGCCCTTATTTCAGAATGTGGGTGTGATTGCTGAGGATGTGTCCCCTGAAAATTTGCCTTCTGAAGTATTGAGGCCTTATCTTTGTACTGGTTTCGACATCTACATCCTATGGGAGCCTTGCGTAATGTGAGTATAATGCAATTAACTTTTTCATCTGCACTTGGATGGCACTACCCGTAATCTGAGTATAATGCTATTAACTTTTTCATCTGCACTTGGATGGCACTGCCCATAAATCAAAAATAGTGAGCTGATTCACTTCAGGTGGTTTAAAAAAAAAAGACTTGACTTATTTTTTTCGGCCAAAATAAGTAATTGCATTCAAAATGTGAATAATTCTTGTGAGATGCCCTTTTTCAAAAATGACTCCTAATTTGGGTGTTATGCATCTTTAGACATTTTCAACTGAAACTAATTTATTGGTTTTTTTATTATTTATTTGTTTAGGGTTTCCAAAGTTTAATTACTTTGTTCTTCTAGAAATTATTTTGTGCGGACATTGGACGGAGAGAACCGTCCGGATTTGCTGCGCTTTTACTGCCACTTTCCCCCCGCTCCAGATACTTCTAGTCCTCCACTAACTGCGCTAGCTCCATAGCCTCTCCAAGTCACGAGGCCTCATCACTCTAACCACCGCACTGATCTATGGTTTCAGGCCCTTCGTGAAGTTCCCCTCTAAAACCATCTCAAAAAGCCGGTCCAGTCGGCTAGCAAGGTATTGGAACCTCTCCCAGTACTCTACCACCGATCCATCTTGTGTCAGAGCAAAAAAAACTCGTAAAAATCCCCCTTCCAGTTCAGAAACATTCAAACAAACAATCCTTTAATTCCCTCCAGCTCCATATGGGACGTCTCATGTCCCTCCACTAAAACTAGGCCAAGTCCTTCTATTGCAAACATAGGTTAGTTGTCATCGGTCTCTCCTCCTTCGTCAATCCATTGATGGCGAAATATCTTTCTACCTTGTAGATCCACCCACGTGCATCCTCTCCCTTTCAGATGGGCATCCTCAGCTTCCTCACTCTCAGATTGCCTCTGTTTCCCCTGAATCCTCCATAACCTCCCTTTCCACAAATGGGTGGTGCTCTCCAAGTGTCCCGATCCTCCCTTATGCGCTCGTATCTAAACCCCTCTTCAAAATCACCTCTCATGTCCCAATCCTCACCCCTATTCTCAAAATCAATCTCTCGTCTTGCAAAGTCAGCACCCATCCTTTCATATCCGCTACTCATCTCCTCCTTAGAAATGGGCTCTAGGGGAGGCATCCATCTTCCACCTCTTAGTTTTCTCCTCTCCTTAGTGGATTAGTGTTTCCACCACTTGTTCGTCGATGGATCCCGTTGCCTCTGATGCTGTCATTTTGGGTTAGGCCTCGAGCATCTTTCTCAACATTTCTTCCACAACAACAAACTTCCTTTCCATCTTTCTATGGACGCTAAAAATTGATTTTCAAATTCAGAAATCTTCTCCACAAAATCTGATTTTAATTGTCTCATCTCTCCTTCCAATATTTCACTTTCCTCCCGGGCATAGGTATCACAGATCGATGCTTTGATACTAATTTACAGGAAATGCTTGTACAAATCAAGAGATCCCCCGGCTAAATTCGAATTTCATCACTTAGCAAAAATAGATTTGAGAAGAACTTGGAAGAATAATGAGAAATAAACCTTTTTTAATTGATGATAGTAGATGAATAATACAAGATACAATGGATATTCTATTGGAGAGGAAGATCCTTCTCTCCCAATTATCCAGACGCCACTAGATCCCAAACAAAAACTAAGAACCACAAATTTCAGCAAAAACAGAGATGAAAAACAAACCCAAGAAGTAATTCCTTCTTAAACAAACATTAATTTCCCTTAATTACCAAACAGCCTCCATCTATTTGAAATTTTCCTCTTAAACCCCCTCTTAATTAGGTTTGTGAACTGATAGGTAATACTTGAGTTCGCAAGTAGTCCAAGAGGAAATACTTGAGTTCACAAGAAACCCTAGTGATAATTGGTAAAAACAGCGAGAATAATGCAGAAGTCTGGATAAAATCAATCCCAAAACAATAGATTGTAATAATGGAATCAAAGCCAAATAAACACAAAGCAAGATACAAGTGATCCTCAATTCGAGAGGAGGATCATTCTCTCCCAATCTTTAGACAAGGAGTCTAGAGCCCAAGATGCCAAGAAAAATTCAAGAGAAACAAATCAAAGCATAACCCAACCATAAAACACCTCCTATTTAATACATAAACTTTCTAAACCAAAACTCCCTTTAAAGCCCTAGACGCCCCCTCCTTTCTCCTTTTAGATTCATTTTGAATAGTGGGACCCACTATTGTGGGCAGCAAAGAGGGGAGGAGGCGGTATTAGACCGCCTCATATAGACAAAAATCGACCCTGTGTGGGCCGGTTCAAGAGTTGGGGCTGGTTCAGGAGGAACTAGCCTAACAATACCGCCATTCCAAAGAATCACCTTGTCCTCAAGGTGAAAACAAGAAAATTGATGTTTTTCCCTCTCGTATGGTTCCCACGTAGCATCGTAGGCAGGAAGATTCTTCCACTTAATCAGCATTTCCTTTGTTTCATCTCCTTTTTGGCGAATCCCCATCAACTCTAAGGGTTCCAGAATCGTCTATAAATCCTCAATAAGTGTCACCGTTAACTCCTAGATGGCTGTATGATTTCCAATGGTCATTCTCGACTGAGATACATGGAAAATCAGATATATAATCGCTATTGGTGGTAGTTTCAGCCAATATGCTACCGCTCCAATCTTCTCCAATACTTCATAAGGCCCAAAGTACCTTGGAGCAAGCTTCTCATTCCTCTTGTTGGCGACTCTCTTCTGCCTTTATGGTCGGAGTTTCAAGAACACTCTCTCTCCTACTTTGAGTTTCAAGAACATTCTCTCCCCTACTTCGAACTGGATGTCCTTCCTATGCCCATCAGCTTGATTTTTCATAATCTGTTGAGCTCTCAATAGATGACTCCAAGCTTCTATTAACCACTTCTATTTGGCCATCCTTCTATGGGTGATAGGCGGTGCTCCCCTTTAGAATTGCCCCCTGTAATTTAAATAACTCCCTTCAAAAATGATTGGGGAACACCTTATCTCTATCTGATACTATCCCCTCTGCCACTCTATGCAATCTGACCACCTCCTAATGAAAGCTAAAGCCATTGTCACCGCGGTGTATGGATGTCAGAGAAAAATGAAATGAGCATACTTGCTTAATATATCCACCACCACCAGAATCACCGTGAAACCTTCTGAACGGGCAGCCTATTTATGAAGTCCATGGATATCTCCTCCTATACTCGTCTTGGTAAAGCTAACGGCTGCGATAGTCCCCTGGCAACATAGCCAGGTATTTGTTCCTCTGATAGACCTTACACCTGGCCACCATCTCCTCCACATCTCTATGTATCCCCTTCCTGTACAGCTTGTAGGCTAACCTCCTGTATGTCTTCTGCACTTCTGAATGGCCCTTAACAATGCTTCCATGAAACTCATGGAGTAAGTTTGGAATGTGGATTGAGGTCCATTAACCCTAATCCTAGTCTATCTCCCTCCAATGAGTACCCTTGGTGGCTACCCCTTCCCCCTTCCCCTCAATTAATATGTCCTGATCTTTCACAACTCCTCATCCCTAGCACTCTCCTCCCTGATGGCCTCTCAATCCAGCATCAAAGGAATCGATAATGCCATTGTCTGCTGCTCCCCTATACATCTGGACAAGGCATTTGCTGCCATGTTCTCCACTACTGGCCTGTACTGGATCTAAAATCATAGCCTAATAGTTTGGATAAACATCTCTGATGCTCCTCGGCCACCATCCTTTACTCCAACATGTTCTTCAAGCTCCTATGATTCGTCCAGACGATGAAATGCCTTCCCAAAAGATAAGGGTGTCACTTTTGAATAGCCAAGACAATGGCCATCAGCTCTCTTTCATACACTGACTTCTATCTAGCCCTGGTTGACAGCACTTAACTAAAGTATGCTATAGGTCTATGATTCTACATCAGCATGGCTCCCAACCCATATCCGGACGCATCGGTCTCTACTACAAAGATCTTGCTAAAGTCCGGAAGAGCTAAAATTGGAATTGTAGTCATGGCTTTCTTCAATCTCTAAAAACTTGAGTCGATGTCTCTCCCCACAAAAAGTTTTGCTTCTTTAGTTGTTTGGTCAAGGGCCAAGCTATGGTACTATACCCCCTCACAAATCTCCTATAGTACTCAGTCAGTCCTATGAAACCCCTCTAATCCCTTATGTTCCTAGGCATAAGCCATTTCTGCATTGCCTCAATTTTTGTTTGATCGGCTGCCACTCCTTGGGACACTATATGTCCCAAGTACTCCACGCTAGACTGGGCGAAGTTGTACTTCTTTAGGTTGGCCCTCAGCTAATGCTTCTGTAAAACTCTCAGAACCACCTTCAAGTGCTCCAGATGCTTCTCTTCCATTTTGCTGTACATTAAAATGTTATAAAAAAATACCAGAACTAATTTCCTGAGGTATTGCCAGAATACCATATTCATCAAAGACTGGAAAATAGCAGGGGCGTTTGTGAGCCCAAATAGTATCACCAAGAACTTGTAGTGCCCCTCGTGCGTCCTGAAGGCTATTTTCTGAATATCCGAATGGAAATACTTGAGTTCACAAGTAATCCCAGAAGAAATACTTGAGCTCGCAAGCAACCCTAGCAATAATTGGTAAAAACAACAATAATAATGTAAAAGTATGGATGAAATCAATCCCAAAACGATAGTTGTAATAATGGAATCAAAGCCAAACAAACACAAAGCAAGATACAAGTGATCCTCAATTTGAGAGGAGGATCGTTCTCTCTCAATCTCTAGACAAGGAGTCTAGAGCCTAAGACGCCAAGGAAACTTCAAGAGAAACAGAACAAATTATAACCTAACCCTAAAACACCTCCTATTTAATACATAAACTTTCTAAATCAAAACTCCCTCCAAAGCCCTAGCCGCCCCTCCTTTCTCCTTTTAGATTCAATATGAATAGTGGGACCCACTATTGTGGGTGGCAAAGAGGTGAGGAGGTGGTAGTAGCCCGCCTCCTATAGACAAAAAATTGGCCCTGGATGGGCCGGTTCAGGAGGAACTGGCCTAACATGGACCCCATCCTCAAGGGGGTGGCTAGGCTGGGGCGGAACTCCCCGTTCCCCCTTTCCTGCATCCTATAGACCCAAGCTGGTCCTTGTTGGAATGGCTGGACCGGTCTAACAATCAAAGCAAGAATAAAGAAAACCAGAACTAAGCTGAACCTAACCTAGTGGGCGGTCCAGTTGCAGGTTTAGCCTTGGCTGATCCAAATCAGGAAAATAAAATAGGAGAGGCGGAGGAGGCTGCTAGTTCAGCCTTTGGCTGAACTGAAACTGTAGCAGAATTTGGACTAATACTCAGTTTAGTTAAAGCTCCTGCGCCAACTTCATGCTAGAATTGCCAGTGGATTGCAATAGAGGGGTATGCATGGACTAGTGCAGTATCTGCATCTACATTAATTCACAGAAGGAATATCAATAAGTATTCTAGATCTGTTCCTCTGAATGAATTATATATTCAATGCAGAGTTTATTTTAATAATTGGAGATCGATGTTCTCCAAAGGAGCAACCCCTCTTAAGATTAATTACATTCTAGGTGAGACTCCCCAGAGTACTAACAATTAATGAATCTAGTTGTGCAAGGAAAAAATAACGTTTGAAAAGGTGAAATTGAAAGCTGAGGTTTTTTGTCTTTCTCAGGTATTGCTTAAAACTCAAGGCGGATTGTGATGTAAGCCTTGAAGTAAAATTAAAAAAAAATCTTGTAAAATTAAAGGAAATATAAAAAAATATGGCATAAAGCATCAAGGGATTGTTAAAGAAATGAAAACCTAAATTGTAAAAGAAAAACAAACCAATTAAAATAGAAGGAAAAGAAAAGTCAGTTAAAAAGATAATAAAAATAGTTAAAAATATATAGCATGCTTAAACCTAAATTGTAAAAGAAAAACAAAAATTAAGGTGTACATGCTTAAATATATTTTGTTGAAAAGTACCCTCAAAATTAAGGGAAAATTTTATAAGATGGTGGTGAGACTTGCAATACTTTCAAGCACAAAGTATTGGCCATTAAAAGAGAATCATACAATTAAGTTAAATGTTGCAAAGATGAGGATGCTTAGGTGGATGAGTGGCTTTACTCTTAGAGATAGAATGTGAAACAAGCATATACATGAAAAGGTTGGAGTAGCTTCAATGGCGGATAAGATTAGATAGAGTCACCTTAGATTGTTGATCACATAAAATGTCAGCCTTTTGATGACTCGGTTAGGAGAGTTGATCTATTATTAGATTTGGCATATGTTAAGAGAGCTAGAGGTAGACCTAAAAAAAACATGGTTATAAAATATTAGAAATGTTTCTTTTTTTAATTAGATTTAAATGAGAATTTGACTCTTAACAGGACACAATGAAAAAAAAGGATTCATATAGTCGACGTCTCATAGTGGGATAAAGGCTTGATATTGTTGTATTTTGTTGAGATGTATATGGACATGATAAATGTGTAATACCATTTTCGACATAGAAATTTAGAAAGTAAGATTGTTAAATATTAAAGAGCATTGTGAGTGCTAAAATTTTTAATTTGAAAATATTGTACTTTTATTTTATAATAAAATCTTTTAATAAATATAAAGACTTTATACCAACATGCAACAAGTAAACAAAAATAATCCTAATGTCGTCATTAAAAAAAGAGAGAAATTAACGATACACTGAATTTGGTTAGCTAATTTTGGAGTGAAGTAAATTAAAAAGTGTATTACTACGTGAAGTTGGTGGACAAGGGGAAGGAAACTTTTGATGCTTCACGTTCAAATCTTGAAATAGAGGATGGTACTTGAATAAAGCTCCAATTTTTTTGACATAATAGATAAGGCAGTGGAAGCAACATCATTGAGATAATGAATATTGTCAACTTCAATATCTATGCTAACCGTCTTATTTATGCTGAGATCTTGAAAGCCATAATAAGAAGGATAAGGGTTGACGGGCTTATGTGAGTCTTGGTTAAACGATCTATTAACTAAAGACTGCAAGAAATTGTGGGATATTTGAAATATTGTCTAAGGTTAAAGAAGCGGATAAATAGAGAAAAAATAGAGATCGGAGGACAGAGTTTCATTGGCAATAATAATAGATGGGAGGACAAGCTGAGGCATGTTTAATGTTATTGACTGAATAATATTGATGCCTGCAGATAGGAAAACCTGAAGAATATAGAAGGAAGATAATAAGGAGAATATTTTCAATTATAAGGATATGATACAATAATAAAAAAATTATATTTTCATCCTTCTCATTCCTACCCAATTAAACCCATTCTACTAATCCCCACAAAGTCACTAGATGAAGCTTAATATTGTAAATTTTCATCTCTTATAAGTCGATTCTACATATTTGAGAGCCCAATACATCAGGAATTTCTATTTATGCTTTTTACTCTTTGTCAGCATTCATAAGTGTTTTAGCTTCATATTTTTTTTTATTATTTTCTGTATGATTGCAGGTGTGCCATGGCACTCGTTCATCAAAGGATTAGGCGAATTTTTTATGCCTTTCCAAATCCAATTGCTGGTGCATTGGGCAGTGTCTACAGTTTGCAAGGAGAGAAAAGCTTGAACCATCATTACTCAGTTTTCAGAATTCAAATACCTGAAGAATACTACTAGAGAGAAACAAGTGCTTTAGACAAAGCTCTTCGCAGGATAAGCTTATGATAACATAATAGTGGGATTCCATGGTGTTTTGTGGTTTGCTTCGAATTCCCTCATTTTTTATTATTCTACTCCATGAAGAAGACCAGTAGACAGTTAAACAAATCATTAGGATGAATTCAAATTACAAATGTGTTTGCTCAGTTTTCAACACTCTGATTCCCGGAGAGAACAGAAGAGAGAAACATACGACATTTTTGTTTGCTCGGTTTTCAACATTCTGATTTCTGAAGAAGACCACTAGATAAAGAAACAAGTGGTTAAGATAATCCCTCTTCACACCAGAAACTTGTAATACACTTACTAGTCAGCCTCTAGTGGTGTTAATGTGTTATTATCTACTCCACTTTCATCCTTAGCTTGAAGCATCATTACTCAGTCTTCAAGTTTCCAATACCTGAAGCAGACCAGTAGAGAGAGAAACAAAATGGTTTATTTAACTCTTCACTGGAAATACTTATGATCCACTTAACACTGGTGCTTGCTTCCAACCCCTAGTTTCTATGTTCCTGATTGTGATAGCCCAAAACCTGTAAGGGCGTCTCTAGCCGAACTCCAAACGACTATAAGGCGTAGTTGATTTGCTCCATTCGAACGGCAAAAAAATCACTAATCTGTGGTGGGTGAACAATGCGACGTCAATATTAGCGTTGCACTGTTTACCTAAGCGATTTTTCTGTCTCAACCGGATTTGCCGAAGAAACGCGCTAAAGAGTAGAAAGACGGTTACCTTCACAGAAGCATGCAAAATGGAGTTCGATTGGAGATGAATCACGGCATTTTTGAGTTTCACTGTATTTTAGATTGAAAAATGATATTTTTGGTCGGAGATGCCCTATTAGAAATCATTTTCTTGTCTCCACATTTAAGTAGGACAAATCTCTAATTATTTGTAATGTGAATGCTTCCAGAACCACCCAGCTGCTACAGTTACATTATACTGCTTATTTCTTCATTCATAATTTATTTTATCATTCAGAATTAAATATTATTGGTGCCAGTTCCCTGACCACAAACCTCTCTCTCCTATTATTATTGTTAAATAGTTCCACAGCTTGGCAGCCTAATTAGACCTTCCTGTATCCTGTCTTTAAATATATTGTATTGGTTCTTTGCATGGCTGGTATTTAAAAGAATATGGACCATCTGAAATGTTACAGAGTAGTAGAATTATAACTTTGAAGAGCAGAAATTATTGAAATATTCCTGATGTCAACATGTCAGCTGGAGACAATCACACATATTTTTGTCGTTTGGGACAGCTTTTGGACACGATTTTTTAGCTATTTTTAAGAATAGTTTATACAAAAAATTGCTTTCATAAGTAAGTAATAAAATGCTGTCCCAAACGAAATCTGAATTTTATGAAATTATGCTGATGAAATAATGAAATAATTAGAAGTGTAATACGTTAACGATTATTTTATTGGCAGGTAATATTTACTATTTATTAAAAGGTTTGTCTGTTAATTATTTGGCTAATTTAGTTGAACTTTGTTTTTTTTAAAAGAGTTTGAAGTTTACTCATTTGAGTTAGATTTTTTTGTTTTAAATTAAAATTTTATTTTTTTTTTAGATTTTTTTAGTATAGAAATAATTTAAAAATGATGAAATATATTATGTAATATTAATTTAAAATTAGCTTTAAATATATTTTAAATTGATAGAGTGGCTTGACAAGATTTTAAGTTGAGTTAGGCTTGAGCTTGAGTTTGAACATGTATAATACACGAGTTCGAGTGTAGGCAGCCCTTGAAGTTCAACTCAACACTTAATATAATTTAAAAGTTTATTAACAAGTTGAGTTTGAGTTGGCTTGCTTGAGCACGCTTGTGAGCCAATTCGGTTCACTTAAACCCCTTTATATGATTTAAAAAAATATTAAAATTTTGTTTTGGAAAAAAAACTATGCTAATTGAAATCATTGAGTAAAGCCTCACTACTCAAATAATTTGCCCATAACAAAATTGGAGTTCATTTTATTTTAATTCCTAAATTATATATTTCTCAAAAAAAAAACTCAAATGAAAATGTCTTACACTTTTTTTATTTTGAACATATTATCTAAAAAAGAAAACGCAATTTATATTTGATTTTTTTGGAGAGTAATAAAACTAGTTGTAATATTATATTGTGATTTGAAAAAACAAAAAAAAAAAGAAAAAAAATGGCCCACATCACATGCGACTTGTACTCTTGTGAAGCCATTTATATTAAATGTTTTTTTAGGGTTAGGGTAAAACTTTGAATAAAGAGGATTATTATAATAAAAAATTAGGTTATGATAAATAACAAAATAATTTAATTGAATTTTTTTAAAAAAATTATTGAGTTTTAAAGTTCAAATTCAGCCTTATCAAAATTGTGTGTCATTCAACAAAAAAAAAAAATATGATGAAATAATCCAATAAAAATTCTTTTTAAATAAAAATTAGATGTTTTTTCTCCCGTTTAATTGATCCTATAAAAATGACTTAAAAAATAATTTTAGTATACTTAATTTTTGAAGTGTAGCATTACTCTTCAATAATAATGGTAGTATTCGGAAGACTCGGACTTCATTTGATATGACTTTCTCATTACTTCTTAAGCTAATTTTTTAGTACAAAAATTAAAAAATTTTAGCTAAAAAGTTGCCTTAAGAAGCAATCAGAAAGCTGTCTAAAGCAAAGCCTTGGTGTTGTTTAATAAATAGACTGATGTAAATTGTAGCTTTAGGGATGTATTGATTTAACTAAAAGAACAATCTATTTCTTGAGAGAGAGAGAGAGAGAGAGAAGTCTATTCTTTCATGAAATTTCTAATAAGTGTAACAATTTAATTGTTCTTACTTATTAATGGTGATGTAATTTTCTTTAGATAATTAGAGGACAGATAAAAATTTTAATTAATGGTAATATTATATTGTGATGTGATTTTCTTAAAGAAATGGTGAAGACAGTCTTTTGCCCTAGAAAAGAGAAAGAGAAAGGAACACAAATTGGGTGAAGGAACAACTGCCATTTGCATTTATACCCACTAAGTATCAACCATATTATCTTATGATTTTTGAGAAATTATTAGGTGTAGATATTTCACATTTTTCTATGTGAAAAGTTAATAATGGACACAAATTTTATTTGAGTATGATAGATAAGCTAATTGACACAAATTTTAATTAAGTCCACATAAAATGAAAGGCAAAATTTTAATTTATTAAATGTGAGATTTTTTGTAAATTTGTAGTAACATTTAGTATATAAATCATAGTTTCTATTCAGAACTTTCATTACATATTAATTTGAATATAATATAGTGGCACTAAAGAAGACAACGAAGAAACAAAAGTTTATCTGTCAACTCTTCCCTTTCATACAACTAAAGCATCACTCCAATTTAATATGGTTGCGCTACTTCACTTTGTTTATGATTAAATACAAATTCATATACAAGATTTTATTGCCTAGAAATTTTCATCGAAGGGAGATTTTTTTCATAACTACATAGTTTTATTCATCACCCCATATATAGTTTTTAGTGGTTTTGTTATCATCTTCTGATTAACGAAAGATCTATTTGACATTATGATTGAGTTCTTCTTGATGGGCTTGATGTTTGGAGTTTGTTAATGTTTATTGTATTTGAAATGGAGATGTGTTGGTGAACTTTTTAGTTTAAAGGGATGTGTTTATGGTGAGGAGGGAAGGGCACAAGGTGCGGTGGCCAAGAAGTGGACTTGGGAGAGATTTATTTATGGGCATTGGGATAGTGGAAAACTAGTGATTTTCTATGTGATTGAAAGGTTGTAGGAGAATGTGGTGGAGAAGTAATGGTGTAGAGATGTGATTTTGATGGTGGTGAAAAGGCAAAAAACTGTGAGCTTTAAAATAAATATAAGAGATTGTATGTGCATATGTAATATGCATGTAATTAGAAAATGCCAAGAGGCACAAATTATATTTGTGTAATGGTTGTACAATGCATATCTAATGATTCAAGGATTTTTGAAATAAAAAATGTGAGTGTATGCTATTGTAAATCTATTAGATACAAGATTTATGATAATATGGAGATTCATGATTAATTAGAGTCATAATGATATGCATGTGTAGTGTGCATGAAGCACATAAGAAAATCATAAATATTCATGCCTAACCTTAGATACACCTACATCTTCACCCACACCCCATATCAATACAAGGAAAAACCCAAGCTTTTAGCCTCACAATATGCACTCAAACTCCAAGAGATACACTATAGACTTCTACTCTTTAAATCCTCTCATAGCTTTCTCTCCTCTCACACTAAGCATTTGATCATAATTTATCTATCACTACCTTTCATTCATTTTCATCTCATTATCCCACAAATAAATCACATCCCATAAATAATCTATCAATAGTCCATAAAATCCCAAATTATCTTGCCTTAATAATCTGACATCCTCTCTAAACTCTTACATCATGCCGCTCTTACATCATGCCGCTCAATATCATTCTAAACTAACTCATGAAATAGTTACCTTATACTAAATTATGATCATAGGGTTCGAAGCATTAGTGGATTTGCTTAGAGGTTGAATGAATAAGTGAGGAGCATGGAGAGAGATTGCCTCAAGTGGAGAACATAATGAATGATTGGCACAATTAGCAATAATAGGCATGGTGTTATGAGAAAGTGTGAAGAAATCACTAGAGTAAGGGAGGAGAAGAGTGAGGAACGGTAAATTTGTGTTGCAAGAAAGAGATCGAAGTATGCCTATAAAGGAGAAGAAGAGGCAAGAAAGATCACAAAAATGATATGCTCATATTGAGTTAGATATATTTTTTTTCTACTATGTGGACCTCCGAAAGAACACCGCTCGCGACTATAGAGTGCAGAGGGTATACGACCGCACCACCCCGAGGAATAGAAACAATAGTAGGCCTCCGCGATCTTCATAAGCATACCAATGGGAGGACAAATTAGATCCTACATACGATCAACCATTGAGGATATTGTCTCTCACCAGCGCACCCCGATGGGTGATAATATGCAGAACCTGGTCAGTGTCACGAGGTTTCCCCCACCCAATACATCATCTCAAGTGGGGTTTATTTATTGTAGAATTTCATTTCTCACGGGTGCAAGCTCCCATGGTTAATTACATCTCAAGCCGGAGCCCGAGAATACTCTTGATTAAGGATCCAATATTATTCTTCCTAAAGTGGGATTGGCATGAAAGGGGAGACTAGGAATCCCTACTCAAAGGGAAGGAAAGGATTCAAATGGCTAAGTTAACATACACGGCTCATCTCAGCCTTCTAAGGGACTAAGGCAGTGAGAAGAGGAAAAAAATCATACACTCAAAGCATACGGAGGGGAAGGATAGAAGTTGCATCATCCACGTGATGCGGATAGGTAGTATTTATAGCTCCCTAAGATAAGGAAACTTATCTACCGATTAGGCTTACTACGAGACACCGAATGTAGTAGCCTTGAACCCTAGATCTAAGGTGAGATTAGTGTTCTACCTAATACTAATACCCGTATCCTAGCAAATGCATCTAGGCTTATATCATGCCTGAAAAGGAAAGCCAGCTAACCATCTAGGCACGTAAAATCCATGTTATCCAATCCTTATAAAAGATAGGTGGGTAGGCTGAGTGTTTTGAAAGTAAGGCCAATGTCTAGAGAGTTTCCTAATTGGTCTTGGATTTATCTAGGGTGAATGCTCCTAGAGCTAATGTAGTTAAATTTTAATTTAGTTAGTTTCTAATCCAATGCATACTAGTTAAAAGGTCTCCAAATCAAATATGCATAAGATTTTAAAAATAGGCTTATAAAAATAAATTTTTAGAAAAGATTGGGCTTCCTTAGGTCCAACACCTTATCCTCATAGGCCAAATTATCCAGACTCTACCCGCAACAGGGGAAGTTTCTTATTAGAAGAGAGAGAAGAATGCAATAATATGCATGCGACCCCGGACAATTCTGGCTATTCCTTAGGTCATTAGATTTATAAGTTATTTAATTCCTAAA